CGGGGAGGTCCGGGAGGACGTTCGGGGAGGGAAGGGGAAGTGGGAGGCTCGGGGAGATCGGGGGGAAGAGGGAAAGATGGGGGGAAGGGAGGTTCGGGGAGATTGATTGATTGATTGATTGTCGGTCCTTTGTAGCGAACTGTTGTCGTGCTCCTATCTTTCAAACTTTTGCCGGGGGGGGGGAGGTCTGGGAGGAGGTTCGGGGAGGGTGGGGGAAGACGCGCGGTGTTAGGACAGACGTTCGGGAGGAGGTTCGGCACGGGGGCCGGGTAGGTCCTGGAGGACGTTCGTGGAGGGAAGGGGGAAGGCGCGCAGCGGGAGGAACGACGTTCGGGGAGATAAGGGAGGGTGGGAGGCGCCTGGCGCCATTCAAGAGAGAGAGCTACATTGGGTTATGCTGTTGGTGTTGCCCGATTGGGCTTCGACATTGACTCACGATTCTTCTGTATCGAACTCAAATGGATGGTTACTCGGTTCCATTGTGCTATCTGCTCTTGCTTTGACTACTTGGACTTCAGTGTGATTTTGCAATCTGGATTTCTGTGCTTCGTCCGCATTCATGTTCCTTGCATTTTGGTATCGGAGCTGGTTCGATTCGCCACTTACCTTGGTGCGCTGGCGTTACACAGACTTGGTGCCATTTTGGGAAGCTTGGGGAGATAGGGGGGAAGAGGGAGAGAAGGGGGGGAAGGGAGGTTCGGGGAGATTGATTGATTGATTGTTGTTGTTGTTGTTGTTGTTGTTGTTGTTGTTGTTGTTGTTGTTGTTGTCAGTCTTTTGTGGTGAACTGTTGTCTTGCTCGTATCTTTCGAACTTTCCGGGAGGGGGAGGCCTGGGAGGAGGTTCGGGGAGGGAGGGGGAAGACCCGCCGTGTTAGGACTGAGGTTCGGCGAGACAAGGGAGGGNAGGTTCGGCGAGACAAGGGAGGGTGGGAAGCTCGGGGAGATAGGGGGGAAGAGGGAGAGAAGGGGGGGAAGGGAGGTTCGGGGAGATTGATTGATGATTGATTGATTGATTGATTGATTGATTGATTGATTGATTGATTGATTGATTGATTGATTGTTGTTGTTGTTGTTAGTCTTTTGTGGTGAACTGGTGTCGTGCTCGTATCTTTCGAACTTTCCGGGAGGGGGAGGTCTGGGAGGAGGTTCGGGGAGGGAGGGGGAAGACCCGCTGTGTTAGGACTGAGGTTCGGCGAGACAGGGGAGGGTGGGAAGCTCGGGGAGATAGGGGGGAAGAGGGAGAGAAGGGGGGGAAGGGAGGTTCGGGGAGATTGATTGATTCGTTGATTGATTGATTGATTGTTGTTGTTGTTGTTGTTGTTGTCAGTCTTTTGTGGTGAACTGTTGTCGTGCTCGTATCTTTCGAACTTTCCGGGAGGGGGAGGTCTGGGAGGAGGTTCGGGGAGGGAGGGGGAAGACCTGCTGTGTTAGGACTGAGGTTCGGCGAGACAAGGGAGGGTGGGAAGCGCGGGGAGATAGGGGGGAAGAGGGAGAGAAGGGGGGGAAGGGAGGTTCGGGGAGATTGATTGATTGATTGATTGATTAACTGATTGATTGATTGATTGATTGATTGTTGTTGTTGTTGTCGGTCTTTTGTAGCAAACTGTTGTCGTGCTCCTATCTTTCGAGCTTTCGGGGGGGGGGGTTCGGGGAGATTGGTTGATTGATTGATTGATTGGTTGATTTTTGTTGTTGTTGATCGTTTGCAGTCCGCTGTTGTCGGGGAGATAGGGGGTGATGGTTTGCTTAATTGTTTTCCGTGAGCAGACCGGTGGATGCGGATACAGAGTGGACGAGGGAGAGCGTTGAGGGAGGGAGAGCATTGAGGGTTGTTGAATGAACTGGCTTTAACCAGCATTGCTCCTTCCGCTTTCATCGTTTCGTTGCAGGATGACGAAGAGCCGCAGTGAGGCCGTGAAGAAGCACTTCACGGAAGTGGGGGACAGCGGCAGAGCCGACAAGGGTAACAAACAGCGGATCTGCAATTATTGTGACAAGCCTGTGGCCGGGACAGCGAGCAGGGCAAGGGACCATTTCTTGAAGGGTTCGCGATGCGATGTCAAGCGCCTGCGAGGTGTTGTGCCAAGAGAAAAGTACTCGAGGAGGGTGAAGGGGAGATTGGCTGCGAGGTCGGAGTTGGGAGCCGTTACGGGAGAGACTGCCGAGGGGGGGTCATCGGAGGACGACAACGAGCAGCGGGCTGTTGAAGGCGGAGTGGTCGATCGATCGGAGTCTGCGGCGGGGCTCCGTCATGCGACTCCCCAGTCGTCCACAGGTGTGGTCGGCCTCCGTCAAACAACGATGGAGGACAGTGCTGCCGTTATCACGGCGCACGAGCAAACACAGCGCACAGTGGATGACTGGATGACGGCAGAATGCATCCCATTCAATATGATGCGGAGCGAGTACTGGGACAAAATGGTGCATGCACTCATGAATGCGCCCAAAGGATTCCGGTACGCGAAATTCGAGACTGCAAGGACAAAGAGGGTTGAAGTGACGAGGGGGAGGGTCACGATGAGGGTGGAGGAGCTGCGGCGGGAGTGGCCAACCACTGGCTGCATGTTGCAGCTTGATGGTTGGACAGATCGCCAACAAAGACCACACATCAATGTGATGGTCTCCTTCCCGAAGGGCTCTATCTTCTGGCGAAGTGTGTGCATGTCAGGGCGCAACAAAGGCGCCTCGACATACTATGGCATTCTGAAGAGGGCAATAGAGGAGATAGGTGCGGAGGCAGTGGTGGGGGTCGTTATGGACAATGCTGCCGTTTGTGCAGCTGCGGGGCGAATGGTGGAAGCGGATCACCCGCACATCTTCTCGGTCCCATGCACAGCTCACTCGCTCGACCTCATTTTTGAGTCTTTCGCGAAGATCACGTGGGTGGGCGAAGTTATTAAAAGGGCGTCGGAGGTAGCAAAGTTCTTCACAAATCTTTCGCGGGTGCGGGATCTCCTCCTCCACTACTCCAATGGCAACGTCGTGGCAAAACCGGGTGCGACCCAGTTTGCCACGAACTTCATCATGCTGTCGAGCCTGCAGGGGTTGTACTTGCCGCTGCGAGAGTGTTTGACGGACGATGATTGGAAGCCAGCGATTGTGCACACTTCGCAACACGAACTGTTTGTGAGGGTGACACATGCCATCTTCGACGACACCTTCTGGGCAGATATCGAGAAGGTGATGCAAACGTCTGAGAACCTCCTCAATCTTCTGAAGAAGGTCGACGGCGCGGGCCCCACCATCAGCAAGGTGTACGCCCGTATGGACAGTGCTGTGGAGAAACTGAGGGAGAGCAGGCACTAAGCAGAAAAGGATGAGCTAGAGGCTATAATAATGCGGCGCTGGAATACAATGACTTCAAAACTGCATTGTGCTGCGCTGTTTTTGGATCCGGAGTACAGAGCGTCGCGGCCGGAATCCGATGCAGAGATTGTGGACGGGTTTTGGACATGGCTTTACTCGTGGTGCAAGGAGGCTGCRTACARGGAGGTCGACGCGGAGGTCTGTTCTTGGATCGAGGGCACCGGGAGGCACACTACCGAAAATGCGAGGACACAAGCCCGTACGATGCAGCCGGCGAGGTGGTGGAGGAAGTGGTGCAGCGACATGCCCATCCTCCAAAAGCAAGCCGTTTGGCTCCTTGGACAAGGCTCCTCCTCCTCTAGTTGCGAGAGGAATTGGAGCTTGTTTGAACGGATTCACAACCGTCTCCGCAACAATCTTGGCGTCGTCAAGCTAAGCACGCTGGTTTTCAACAGATGGAACCAGCACTTGTTGGATTCTTGACCAAGAAACCGAAGGCTGATGATGCGGCGAAGTGGGAAGAGGATGAGCCGGTGGAAGATCTCAGACGAGATGAGATAGCGTCGGATGCACGCCTGCGGTTGGGGGAGTGGCGTGCCCGCTAGCGCGGAACACATTCGGTCCACGACGAAGGTGAGAATGACGACTCGGTCTCCGACGAGGAGGACATTCCTGTCCGAGCGCAACAAACGGATGTTGCGGAGGAGGTCACAGTTCAGCATCGTCGGCTGCGCAACGAGTTGTTCGAGCTCGAGAGGGAGCTCAACGAGTCGTGGAGGAAGGCAACGAAAGCTTCCAAGTTTTTGGCCCGGCAGCATTTGCATGACTTGGATCAGGCTACCAGGACCATGACCCTCGAGCATGCCAACAAGTACAAAGCTGCGCGGGCTGCTGAATGTGCACCACCCTCCGTACCCGCCAAACGAGGGAGAGGGAGACCTCGAAAGGACGCTGCGACTCATGGGGGGACAGGTGACGAGGAAGTTGAGGATGCGGGAAGGTGGAGATTTGGAAGGGGTTGGTGCACCCACACGTGCGACAAGAAAGCGGGGACGACCACGGAAGGCGCCCGTGGAAGAGGAGGAGGCTGGAAATGGAAGGGGGACACGGAAGCGGGGACGTTTGCAGGTGCAGCCCGCCGAAGAGGAGGAGGCTGGAAATGGAAGGGGGACACGGAAGCGGGGACATTTGCAGGTGCAGCCCGCCGAAGAGGAGGAGGAAGCAGCGCTTGAAAATATGAGCAGCGTTGACAAACATGGCAGCAGCGACGGAAGCAGCAGCAGCGACGAAAGCGGGGCTGAGCATAATGAAAATGACGGGAGAGACGGCAACGTAGGTGCGCGTGATGGCAGCGACAACAGCGATGAAAGTGGAGGTGGCCGTGGCAGCAGTGATGGTGACGAGAAAGATGGGAGCTCGTCAGAGGAAGAGGACGACTCCGAATGCGAAGGCCAGTAGGGAGATGGGAGTTAGTCGGAGGCAGAGGACGACTCCGACTTACAACGCAGTCAGACATCGCGCTGAAGAGAGAGAGAGAGAGAGAGAGAGAGAGAGAGAGAGAGAGAGAGAGAGAGAGAGAGAGAGAGAG